CTCTGTGTAAGGGATATCTGCCTATGAATGAGGATTGATCGTAATCAGATGGGACGCCTTTTCCCATAATGAATCCAAAATCCGACGGAAATCTCGCGTTAGAGAGTCCGTGATTGGGTCGACCTTTGTAGTACTCTGGTCGCCCTCCGTATAGGCCACCTCTGTTGGAAGGACGGTCGCTTCTCGGGGGTAATTCCACAATATCTGGGTTTTGATATATGGGATAACCTAGTAAACATTTTTTCAATCAGTTATAGGAAATAAATTAGTTCATAGATTGAGTTATTAATACTTCTGTACACTCATGTATCATTTGATGTGCCAAATAAGAACAAGGCAACGAAATGAAAATATGTGGTTATAAGATTCTGGGTATAGTTAGCACGAGTTGTTCACTCCGGTCAGATACCATACAGAAATTTAACGAATAGAGTTGTACAAATTGAATATATTTATGAATTGTGTGTGTGTGTGTGCGTGTGTTAAAAAAAATTGAATCGGGATTTACGATCAGAAAAGAGATGAATCTGAATGAAATCTGGAACTCTCAAAAATGAAAAGTATTTACTAGACATTCTGAGAAAAATGTTTTCCAATAATTGATAGAATATGTGGGGGTTGGTCTATGTTTATTCATTGTTGGAAAAGTTATTTTTTGACTCATGATCGTGACGTTGGTATGATTATAACTGTTCTATCAGTATGTGGATACTTTTATGTGGAACAAAATGGAACGATACCAGAATTACAACCAGGCCAAACTTTTTTTTTAATATATGACAGAGACATACTCAATCAACTTGAACAATTCGAGACAATTATGTTTATGAAAAACATATAATTACACATGAAGACCTTCAATAACTGGTACAGAAATAACCTTACGTTGGATAATTTTTCATCTTCTGTTTCATCAAAGTTGAAAAAAGATATTGTCGTACAAAAACGACCCCATCGTATATTGACCTAATTCAAGTTTTCACTAAAATTTTGGATATCCCATTCATGATTATCATCATTTCTAATCATCATAACTACGTGGTGTTATCAAAATTACCTGAATTCTTTTTGCGAAAATCATCAAATTTCTTGGTTTTCAAATCTCAACACGTGTTTCACTATACAACTTCTTCAGGCGTGTTCATACTGCCTAAATTCTACCAAATCGATGCTTTATATATTGAAATATTTCACAAATATGAATCATAATATTTTCAACTGATAATGTTATCTATGTTTCAGTATAAATTAATTGAAAATTTGAACAACATGATTAAATTTACATATAATGAACTGACTATCAAATTCCTCATTAGAAAACAGATTCAATAGCGGGAAAGAATTCAGATCTGTTTGGTTATTGAATACATTTTCGGGATTTCCAAAAATATCAATTTTCAAGCATTCTGAAAGGTTTTCCCTGTTTGGCCAATCTCCAGTTTTGGCAAGAACCATAAGTCAACCCATATACTCTTGATCTATCCGACATTGTATTGCAATTGATGAATTTACTCAAATTATTATTTGTACTGTAACCCACGTCTAAATCTCTTTTTTTTTTCAAAACGGGCGATGTTATTGGTGGGATCGACCTTGTGAACACCATTTTCTCGTAGTGTTTGGGAAAAAATTGATTCGATAATATCTACCCTGTAACCGTTGCTGACTGAAATTTGTTTGATAACACTCAACTCTCTGAAAATTACTTTCTGATGGTGGAAAATTCAATAGTCTGTGAAGTATACCTACTTTTGAATGCTGCAATTCATGCTTATAATTTTCAGAGGGGACCGAGTTTTATCAAACAAATTACTTCAACAACGATTACAAGGTGGATATTATGACACATTGACATACTTTTATGAACCCATCAATAACAGTGATCGTTTTCTGAAAATGAAAGACTGACACGATCTACAGAAAAATTAATGATTTAAGCAAATTCATTGAAAACAATAAAAAAATCCAGTTTTGGATTGATCAGGAGTTTGTATTCGTATATTGACTTGTGGTTCTTGCTCAAAACTTTATATTGGCCAAACATAAAGAACCTTTTCTCGAAGAACAAAAGAACATAGGTTTAGTTTCTTGAATATGAAGACAAATTCCACATTTGCAAACCATCTTTAGGCAGAGGCGCATGAGTTGAATAACACGACCATGATGTATTACATTTGGGAGAGAAAGATGTGGAACTCAATATTTTGGGATGCTTGAAAATCAACTTATTCATGAATCCTGAAAATTCACTGTGTGACCCAATAGAATTGAATTCTTACTCTCCATTGAATCTGCTTTCTTGTGTGGAAATTAGTAGGTAGTTTTAGTCTGACCCCTCTGGACCTTTACGGTAAGAAGGATGCTTTAATGGCCATGTTAAGATTGCGCACGGCTGGTGTAAACCTCGAAGTAGGAATGGGTCGATTGAGGCTGAGCCTATGGCGAGAAGCGCTTCCTGCGCAACCTCTGCTGCAGGCAACCAGTGATGCAATTGAACCGAGGTTTTTGTTCAATAAACCCTACAAAATACAAATGAAACAGAACATTGAGTTGAATGCTACAAATGCAATACAGATACATACAGGCAGCTCAAAAACCAATGAATGCTTAGGATGTGGAGTATACTTCATATCACTAAGCCTAAGGATTAAGTACGGAATGGAAAAAAATACCAGCGTGGTCCAAACAGAACTGGCTGGTATATCAATCGCCACAAAAGAAATAACCAAAAAAGGAATTTCTGGCAAAAACATAACAATCTGCACTGACAGCAGACAAGCCCTATTAGCCTTGAACAGACAACGTGTTACCTCAGGGCTAGTACTAGATTTAGCCAAAGACTCGGTAGATAACATTATCTTGAGGTGGGTTAAAGGGCACGACAGCAGTGAAGGTAATTGCATGGCCGACTCTTTAGCCAAGGAAGCGGCTAGACTAAGAATTTTAGAACCCAGTAGCACCTACGGCCTGATGACTTCGACAATTGCGGAACTAGCCAAACGTCACACCCATGCTGAATCCCTAAAGAGATGAGATGTAATCAAAGGATACAGGATCACCCTGGGCGACCCTGTTATTGGGAAATAATAATGGGACATTTTTTCTTTCAATTCTGGGTTATTTTTTTAAGGACAATACACAAGCACTACAGTAAAATCCTTAAGGCACTTGAGAGAGGCACTCGCTGGAGATTAAATCCATTTGGAAAAACCTTCTCAGGAAGTGTATTCCACATAAACGCAGTTTGTGAATATATCAAGTTCATTGGAGACAATTCTGACAGCAAATGATCCTGAAGCCAATTTTGTGCATAAAGATGTGATATGTTCTTTGAATTTTAAGTTATTGTCAATATGCAGACCAAGAAATTTAGTGCAAGTCGTTTCTTCTATCTTCCTACCATCTAATAGCAAGTTGTCATAGCTAGATTTGATGTTTTCAATTTTTGTCTTGTCTACGTTGAAGGAGAGTAAATTAGAATCACACCATTGTTTGACTTTCTCTAAATCTAATGATATCATTTGCTTTAAATTGTTAGTATTATTTTCATTCCATAACAATTTGGTATCATCGGCAAAAATTGTAAATGACCCTTCAATATCGACTGTAGCAAGATCGTTGATGTATAATAGGAATAAAATGGGCCCTAAAACAGATCCCTGAGACACCCCGCAATCTATAACCGAAATTTCCGAATACACATTATTGACTTTCGTCAGCTGGGATCTACCTTTAAGGTACGATTTGAACCATTCAAGACTTGTCCCTCTTATGCCATAACAGTACATTTTTTTATAAGTATATCATGATTGACACAGTCTAAGGCTTTCGAAAAATCGCAAAAAACTGCCGAAATTGCTTCCCCCTCATTCATTTATCATTTCAATCTGGCGAAAGCGATTGCATGATTCAAGTAACATAAAAGTTTGCCGTCAGGTTAATTCATTCCATAGAGTTCAATGTTTTTCGAGTAGTGAGCTCGGGAATTATGAAATTTATTATTTGAATTTGTAATTCTTGCGATATTGCGGCGAGACAAATATTGCGATCAGTAGAATTACATCAATAGTTGAGATGTATAATCATTTGAACAATTGAATATTTATTGGAAAAATTTCAAAAAATAAGTTCGAGAAATTTGCGATTCAGTCAGATAAGTTGAATTTTTGAAGTCTTGTGGTATTGAGATGAGACTAATATGGTGATCATCAGAATCACGTTATGTGTTGATATGAAAATTTGAGAAGCTGAATGTGATAAGTCAAAATTTCTCAAAGTGGTGTCAAAGACATAGACTCATGGTCAATGCAAACACAGTTTTTGTACAGTTTTTTCCAAGATGTGGGACATCCTACACACGTTCTTATAAATAACATGAAGATACATCCTTCAGAATCCACAGAGTTTCTAGGAGTTCACATCGACCAAGCATTGAACTGGCAATGTCAAGTCAACTACGTAAGTGAAAGATTAAATAGCAGTGTCTATGCATTGATGCAACTGAAAAAATACTGAGCGAAAAACACCTGTTGAATGTTCACTATGCTCTTGTGAATTCTGTTCATTATCATAATGTGGTCCTATTAAAAATGCAACAAATATTAACAGAGTCTTTATTGCTCAGAAACGAAAAGTGCGTACGCTTTACAATATACGTCATACTGTTTCACCATTGACGACGCCTATATCATAGTAAAATGATCATTTTGAGGAAAAAATATATTGTATTGTATTCTTCGAATTGATTTCTGTGAGTTTTGTGTAGTAGTCTCGAGAATTAGGTTGCGACTTATGGGCCTTTTTAAAATTTCAAGGACTCGTGATGAGGAGACGAGACAGAGATAATATGTTTACTACAATCATGCTATAAGTTGTCATAAGTATTTGAAGAATTGGTTGGAAATCTTGTATCGATTCGGTTGGTTTTGCAAACGTTTGGAGATTGTAACCAGAGAAGAGCACGGCAAAACTCGAAAACCAACCAAAATATTGACGCTAGCTGTGAAAGCCTTCATTCCTATACAAATATTATATTGTTGACATTTCAAGTGCTGTACAAGAGCAAATGCAGTTCCTGATATGGTCGTAGTCTTCACATTTCATTGTTGACCTTTGTTGAGTTGAATCAATTAAATGGTTTAATTTTTATGGAATATTTCACTTCAGTCAATTGAAAAATAATCAAAATATTGGAAATAGTACTATGGAAAAAATTTAAGTTTCGAAAATGAAGTGAATAGTAATTCTTCGAGAATTCCTTGAAGAGTTTTCATCATAATTTTCAGGAGCGAAACAATATTTCAATCAGTTATATCTTATTTTAGTAAAAAAAAAATTGATTGTGATGCTTTTGCTTGGTAGAGTTGTTGACAAAGAGTTTCATTATCCAGTGGCGCAGTTTGACATATCATCCAGAAAGAAAAACTGTTGTGCCAAACTGAATGGATACAGTTAAATTAGATTGACAGGGTCATATTTCTAAAGTAACTATTACTAATCATCCTAAGAAGGATATGGTGACTGAGATAGAAACCAGCTGCAGCAACTCAATTTAGATAAAATCCATTCCAAGTTATTAGTTTTGAAAATAAAAAATGAGGATAGAGTTCAATTCGATTCACTGTCTAGCGAAATCGATTGAAACAATATAGCATAATTCCATTCTCAATAGGTCCAACATGGAGTTATTCAGTCTAAAGAGAGGTTTTATACTGAAATTCCACTCATGAAAGCCAGAAATTAATTGAATATGCGGAAAAATGCCAATTGAGAAGTTTTTTGTTAATTACCCATTACGTAACTGTCAAAATTATGTAGGATTGTGTTCAGGGTTGAAGTCATTTTTTATTTTTTTGTAAAACCGAATAAATGTGATGGAATTGGTCGATATTTGTTAAGAATTCATGAGGTATTCAGGAAACACTTTATTATGGAGCTATTGTATAGTGAAACACATGTTGCGGTTTTGTAAACTATTGAGTAAAAATGTCATGATAGAGTGTTATACGTTATGATGAATAAATAAATAATAATGAATAGTGACAATTTTGGGATTAAATGAGTGTTCTCGATGAGGAAAAACATATGATTTTCTACCAAACTTATATTATATTTCCCTTTTTTGACTGGAACATATGAGCATTGTTTTCCATTGAATATCGAACTTTCGAAACTATTCCAATTTATTTTCATTCAAAAACCGGTATTTTCGAAACAAGTCAACTTCCTATATTGAGGGAAATCTGCAGATCAAAATAACTGAAATAATAAAAACATATAATTTCAAAAGATATCCCTGTAGATTATTTGGCACGCCCTACGAAGATATATTTATATGAACTTACCTACACTTTTTGTCATTATTTCATACTCTCCAATAGGAATATGTATCGGTAATACAGGATAAACGGGAAATACTGGCAAATATTGTTCGGGGTCGAACGGTTGAGGCATAATAGTGGTTCGAAAGCCGTGCTGACGTTGTCCTGTGGCATAAATTATTGGTTTATGACCTGGTGGACGTAGAGAACCTGATCCATACATTTGACGAGCTGCTCCTCGATGCGTTGGATAAGTTGGCGAAGTGGCAGGTATAGAACCATTTGAAGAGCATTTTACTGTAAATAGAATAATAATGAATGAAAATTTCGATATCTGGATTCACTGTTGCAACTTAGGCAAGAATAAATTATACAGTGGAATGAAAAAAGAAGTGAGAATGGACGTACTCATATTGCTAACATCTTGATAAAACTGGAGGTAATTTTTGTACAAATTAACTGAAAAAACAATTTGTTCAGGCCTACACTGTAGGTAAGTCGAGACTAGCCTAAACAAATTGCTCTTTCAGTTGATTTGATTTACAGCCAGTACACAAGTATGTCCACTGAATATATGTGAAAATTCTCGTACACCTGTAATTTCATATCAGTCAAAATTATATGACAGTATATAGTAATTCATTCACAATAAAAAAATGGAAATTCTCTGAATGTTATCTGGAGAGGTATACAACTTCAATGGAAATTGGTATGGATCAGAACTGGGTGGCCAGGGTTCAATGGAGAGATTGACGAATTTTTCGTCTGTAAGTGCAAAGGACCCTTTCAGCAGTAGTTGGAAGCAATGGAACCTGCTAGCTGGTAGACTATTTATGATACCTTATACTGTATGGCTGTGATATTTATAGGGATGAAGTGCTCTGATTGGTTCCGGCGGCGGTTAGGTTTTGTTGACCCTCATGAAAATCCATAACTAACGTATTCAAAAAACCCTTTTTTATGAGACTTTCACTAAACAGTTTTATAACTTTTTGACTGAAGTTGTTTCTAAGTTTGCATATATCTATAGCTTCTTGGTTTAGACGCGTGTAATAGAGGTAGGTCTGTGGTATGAAGCACATATGTTCTTTCAAATTCTTTTTCTCTTAGATCGTATTTAGCAACTGTGGATTTTCTCAAATGTTCAAGATGGCGGCATCTTTCATTACTCTTTTACGAGTTCTTGCACTTTGTAAGATGTTATCTACGTGAACCAGCCTACTAGAAACTAGAAAAATGATCTCTGCGATTTTGGACTAGCAAAATACGCAGATATTCCTAGTCAACTAGAAAGTTGTCTGGGTATCACCGCTTGAGGAACATGAATGATGCATTTTGGACAGGTGGAAATATCTACAGTTACTGCAAATTCAGTGATTTATCCAGACATTTTACTGTGTTTGAGTAAAATTCAGATAAAGATTCATTCAACTTAGTGAGACTTGTTTTTATAATATTTTGCTTATATTTCTACAATACCTGGCTCCCTGTAGCGTGTATTTTCATTCAAATTTCATATGGTTTTGTTTTTGAAGTATATGGGCAGAATAGGCTTCAATTATTTTATAGTTTCTAGATGTATTTCCATGGAAACTTACCCAGATTGAATCGTTCGTGTCCGATCTCGATGAATTTTCATTACTTTTTTTTTAGAAAAATATTCCCAAGTGAGTATTATAGCTGTGAGGAAAATCTTCCCAACCACCCAAAAAAACATTCTCCCGGTCAAGAAAACTTGCACTATAAGATTCTTATCATCAAACTACGGCAGTAAAGCTTCAATTCTCTTGAGTGAAACCCAGATGAGACAACCTACCACGTGCTTTAAAAAAGTTATGGTGAAAAGTGATACAGCAGTTGATAACAGGAGAGGAGCATACATTCGTTCTAAACACAATCCCAACTATGAAAACCTGTTTCTATTTCAAAATGAAACAATGTGAAAGTTGCAGCTAAAAATATGTCATAGATAGACCTCAAAGAGTAGTGGCTGGAAAAATTTTATCGTGAAATATAGCTAACATAGTCACATACTCACAGCGAACATAGTCACTCAGCAAAAGATGGTAATAATAATATTTTATGAAAAAAAGTTTATTGGGTGTGGCGATCGATTTTTTTTTAAAAAAAACAATTGTTTTCTTGTCAACGTTACGAATTTAATTAAATTGTTCTTTAGGGCTCGAAAGGTAGTGTTTTTGGGTTGATGATATCACTATTTTAAAAACCATTTGACGTATTAGATACGTACATAAAAAAAATAAAAACTATTGCAAACAACCAAAATTTCACAGACAACAAACACAACGCAACACAAAACGACATGTCGTTTTGTGATGTATTTTTAAATATGTATCTAATATGTCTGATGGTTTTTAAAATAGTGATATTATCAACACGAAAAATCTACTTTGAAAAAAGAAGACAATAAATTTTTGAAGAAAAAATTGATCCTGTTACCCAACCAACCTTTTTTCAGAAAAATTATTATATCACTAAACGAATTAACATAATATTTTATGTTTGAAAATATGTTCAAAATATATGTTTTTTCCGTTAACCAGTTATTGCACCCCTACGAACGACAACCCCCAGAAGTCGAAATTTGTGCGAGCTAAGAACTAACGAGGTCTTACCTTTTAACGTGTGATTCCTAACATGCTTCCTAACCTAACCTAACACGCTTCCATGCTATTTCATATGAGACAGAATCTCGATAATAACTCTCACCGACCAATTACAGACGATCAAATAGGCTTCACAGAAAATAAAACTTCAACAGCAGCGTTTCTCCACTTCGAACCAGTCGATGATGATGGTATTGAAAACTCATAGGAACTGATATACTAGGAAATATATGTACACTACCAGTTTCATCAATGAAACAATTTTAGCCCCTCGTAAGACGTCTATGGTAATTCAGCTCTACATATTATTTGCGAAAGACTTGGAAAAACGTATTGGAACACATTTTCACATAAAAGAATATGCAGATGATATAAACAAATCCACTACCAGAGTTCTAGAAAAATAGGACATCTATATGAATAAACCACCGTAAGATATGAGGAGACAATTGCTTATTAATTATGAATTTATATCAAGAAACGAAGCGAGAACTTTGTTACCTTAACTTCATGATCTAACAATTCTCACACTTACACATCAATACTGCCAGAAAAAAAAAGAATATATCAATGAGAAGTTTCAACAGATCATCAAAATATTATCAAACGATGTTCACGGCCATATATCTTTCTGAATTTTCAGAAAATTATGACATAATATTCTATGACAATGAAAAGTTCATCGTTTAACAAGAAGTATTATGAATTTCGTGGAAGGTATCGTACAGAAAATCAACGGACTAGGGCCAAGTGAAGATCATATCTACAAAAAATATCTTATCGAACACGTATACTCATATGTATATTCTCCTAAATGCAGTGGAATATATTTTTACAGAAGTATATTCAATCAATTATTTTCACTAACAATAAGAGTGCAGTAAATAAGTAACAACCCTTCTGAAATCATAAACAATTGCATTGTAAATAGAAATAGTTAAAGTCTATGAACAAATTATCTTGCAGAATAAAAACATACCTGTTATTTGGATAGGAGGTCACCCTACTATTCCATTCACCGATCTGAATAAAATCTTCAGAAAATAATCAAATGTAATTAGACAAATTTGATTAAATAACTTATTGAATGGCCAAAATTTCAAACAAGAAGGAAATATGTTAACTCAATTGCTCGTATGGAAGATATGATGATCTAATTCACGTTGTGGGAAATGTTCCTTTCATGATAATGGTATACCCATCATTCCGAAATGAAATTTGGTAACGTTGTTTTTTCAGTAAAATAATCGAAATATACACACACAGTAAGCCACGGTTATCGAAGAAAACAGTAAACAAAACCTTGACATTTGATTGGATTTGGCGTGGTTTTTTTATCTCGGCTCTCCTGGGCTTTTCTATTTGGACGATTGGACTTGGGTTTCGATGTCATAACCATATACCCATGATTTAACACCAGTTATGACCCTCTTAGGCAAATCTGGATCACCGTTAACGCCATTAATAATTCCTGAGTGATCAAGGCCATAGCCAGAAAACAATTTCGGGGGGGATTTTATTTGGTGGAACAGTAGAAAAACAACAAGTAGGAATATAAAAACAACGAAAGAAAAGAAAGAAAAATTGTGTAACATAATCATATATATTTATTAGAAAACCATTTCAGAAATATTAACATCTTTTTACAAAATCAAAATTAGTTTTCTAACTTTCTTTGACATTAACGCCAAACCGTTTAGTCGTTCCTGGCTTGTGGAGTTTCTTAAATGAGTTTTGGGGCATTTCAGAGAAGAGAAAGTTCTTTCAGGGGTACATATGGAAACAGGTAGTGTCGCCAGGATCTTTGAAAGTTTGAACGCACATTGCCGTAAGGTTTCTCCATTGTGTTTTGGGAAAGTTTTGTCAATATTCTCTTTCAATCACTTGGTTCCTTTTGCCAAGGACTTGATAAAATTTTTAACAGATTTTATAATTCCAATAGTATCTGTATCTATAAAGTAGGGAGGGTGAGTGTCGGCCCACAGCACTTAGGCACTTAGGCCCACAGCCATTATACATTCTCCCAAGGAGTTGTCCTCCTAGTTCATCGTCGATACTGTCCTTTCAAGGAAGATGGACAGGTCACTAGAAAACATTTCCTCTATATCGGCAGGGGTAGGTCAAGACTCGCCGAACACATACTCTCTTATTGACGATAACTCCTGACACTCGCATAGGACATGCCTGACAGTTTCATCTTTCTGTTCATACATACTGCATAGAGGAGTGTCTACTAACCCTATATTATTAAGGTGTTTTTTTAGTTGACAGTGGCCAGTCAGAAATCCTACTGTTAAGCGTAGCTTTTTCCTAGTCATCGCTAGGTATTTCTTCGGCGACAGCTTCCCAGGGATTGATCATGGGTGTAACGTTTGGCTAGTTCCGCAATTGTCGAAGTCATCAGGCCGTATGTGCCATTGGGTCCTAAAATTCTTAGTCTAGTCGCTTCCTTGGCTGAAGAGTCGGCAATGCGATCACCTTTACTCCTGTAGTGCCTTTTAACCCACCTCGAGATGATGTTATGATGTTATTATCTACCGAGGCTTTGGCTAAATCTTGGTGGCACTCTAGTACTAGCCCTGAGGTAACACGTTGTCTGTTCTAAGCTAATAGGGCTTGTCTGCTATCAGTGCAGATTGTTATTTTTTTGCCAGAAATTCTTGGTCATTT